TGCTACTTTGACTTGGTAAAAAAATAATTAAATGTCAAGAGAATTAAAATGAAGACTATCATTTGATAGAAGAGAAGACATGTATGTGGGAGTTATTGAATGTGATAAAATGACAAATTTTTAGGGAGTATTCTTTATATGCTCTTAAAGGGGCATTACAGACATTGCGCAGATAATCTTTACTATATAAAAAAAAAAAACATGTAAAAAGCATTAAAATATAAAAAGGAAGTGGGACAGAGAATAAAGAGTTAATATGATGAATGTAGCAAAAAAGTGAGCCTGGGGATCCAGCACAGGAGGCAGCCTGTGGGGTTAAAACATTTAAGAACTGTTTAACCCCTTAAGGTAAGAAAGCGCCATGGGGCCTCCTGGCAATATAACAACTTCATTTAGACTAAGGGATAATCATCATGTTAACTGTGTGACTGATCCATAATATCTTAAAGGGCCCGCTATTTAAAACAGCAATATTTACATTTGTCAGAGAACACACCACTAATGGCTGTCAGAATTATATCTTAAATAATAATTCCATTATGCCAAACACAAACCGTGTATTGCATTCACAGTGAGTCTGTCTTGCACATATTCCTTAGATAGGTTAAAGATTGACAGATGTCCGTATAGGGTCCAGGAGTCCCTTATGAAAGCTTCATGCATTACAAGAGAATACAATAATGAATGTTTTCACAAAATATTTCTGAGAATCCACACAATAAACTGTTGATATAAGCTGTAGTCTTTTTTTTCTTTAAATCAATTGAAAATTTTGTGATCGTTCACATAATATGCAAGATTCAACCACATAAATTTCTTAACAAAGCGTATTGAGCCAGACCCCATAGGGAATGCCAAAGGAAGTTCTCAAGCAAAAGCTTATCATTAAAACAAATCGTTCTCCATTATTTCTTTGTACCAGTATACGTTTTTTTCATTTCATATTTCTGGCCGGAAATTTCCCTTGGCATTTACTTTTTTTGTTAGAACGAATGCACTTTATTTTGTGTTTCTGAATGAAGCCCCCACATCACCAACTTTGGGGTCCTTACACCATGATCTTTCTGTTTTACTGTTTTGATGCATTTATTTCTGGTCATTGTTATCTACTCTTTCTGCCATGTTTTTTAAAGGAACATTATAGCGTTACTACTGGAGTAAACTGTATCAAGGTATGTATTGGTGAGCAGGGGCCATTGGGTATCTATTGACTAACAAGGGCCACTTTCCCTGGCTATAAACAAGCAGGGTACACTTTCCTGGATATTTATTGGCAAACAAGGGGCACCTTCCTGGGGTTCCTGGTCACTTATTTGCGAGCAGGGGCCACTTTCTTTGAGGGGTTCCTAGGTTCCTAGGTTAGTCTGTTTCTTAGGCAATTGGTGTTAAAATCTGCAAACCCCCCCCCCAAAAAAAACCTGTAAGAAACGTGCAAAACTATTTGCCTTAATTCTAGTTAGGCAAAGTGCTTTTGCCTTGGCAAATGGTGTTTTAAAGCTAATAAAACAATTTTCCTCAGCAAAAGCCAAAAACTACTATTTGCCTTTCCTATATAAACAATTGGTACCATAGGAAATTAAATGGTCAAATGCCAACTAATTTCAGTTAATTATGTGTCCATTTTACAGATTGGTAGCTGTCTCACAAGCGGTTGTGGGACAGTCGGAGCATGGATCATTTGTTCAATCAGAAGAGCCTCTAGCAGAATCTCCCACTGCTGTTCCAGCGCGATGGTCACACATAAGTTACTACATTTGTATCCTCCTGATTCTATAGTGCTTGACCAGCTCCTGGAGATATTGCTCACAACTTGGTGACTATGTGTGTGTGTGTGTGTGTGCGCCTTTCCGTGTGATTTTCGAAATCTGTATGAGATTCCCTGTGTACGCCTCAGTCTATGGTATAATGTGTGTGTGCATACTGGTATGAAAAATCTATTTACACACTGCATACCAGCACAAAATAAACCTGGATGATGTTGGGATTTTTTTTCTAAAATCCTTGGTAGTGATGTAGTTAAATTAATTGTTATATTTATATACTGTATAAATATAGTTTTATTACATGTCAACCTTATGAGTGTCAGAAATGTGGAAACACATCCTTTGTGTTACCTTTATGGAATGCATTATATACTTATCTTAAAACTTGTTACAATTCTCCACCTTCTATCCTCATACTCTAAGAGGTGTATGGGGCTAGCCAGGCACCAAATTAAACCACATCATAAAAAATAATAATTGGAAAATATTTACCGTATATACTCGTGTATAAGTCGATCTCATGTATAAGTCGAGGGCAGTTTTGTGACCAACAATTGTGAAATATGCTATGCCTCGTGGATAAGTCGAGGGTAAAACTTGGGACTATGAAATTCTGTGATTTTAGAATTATATACACACACACTCATACAAACACACTCTGCATTATATACACACACACTCATACAAACACACACTCTGCATTATACACACACACTCATAAACAATCTGCATTCTACACACACACTCATACAAACACACATACTCTGCATTATATACGCACACACTCTGTGTGTATATAATGCAGAGTGTGTGTGTGTTTGTATGAGTGTGTGTGTAGAATGCAGATTGTTTATGAGTGTGTGTGTATATAATGCAGAGTGTGTGTTTGTATGAGTGTGTGTGTATATAATGCAGAGTGTGTTTGTATGAGTGTGTGTGTATATAATGCAGAGTGTGTGTTTGTATGAGTGTGTGTTTGTGTGTGTGTGAACTGGGTGGAAGGAGGGCATTTTTATTATAAATTTTTTATTTTAATATTGTAAGTTTTTTTCTTTTCTTTTATTTGAATATTTAAGGTTTTTATTTTTTAATATTAAGTTTTTTCTTTTATTTTATTTGAATATTTAAGGTTTTTATTTTTTATTAATTTTTTTCTTTTATTTTATTTGAATATTTAAGTTTTTTTTATTTTAATATTTTAATTTTTTTTATTTTAATAGTTTTTATTGTATTTTTTTTTGTATTTTTAATTTAATTTTTGTCCCCCCTCCCTGCTTGTTAGCTGGCCAGGGAGGGGGGCTCTCACTCCCTGGTGGTCCAGTGGATGGGCTGTGCAGGAGGGGGGGGCTGACAGTGAGAGGTTACTTACCTTCCTGCAGCTCCCTTCTCCTCCGTGCAGCTCTTCTGACAGCTCCCACTGGAAGTCTCGCGAGAGCCGCGGTGACCCCGCGGTGACCCCGCGGCTCTCGCGAGACTTCCAGTGGGAGCTGTCAGAAGAGCTGCACGGAGGAGAAGGGAGCTGACAGTAGCTGCAGGAAGGTAAGTAACCTCTCACTGTCAGCCCCCAACAGGACCGCCGGGCTTGTAATGAGCCCGGCGGTCCTTGTCTGTATTATGGCAATGTAAATTGCCATAATACAGACATTAACTCGAGTATAAGTCGAGTGGGGGTTTTTCAGCACAAAAAATGTGCTGAAAAACTCGACTTATACTCGAGTATATACGGTAGTTTATGCCTAATTTTAGAAAGTGCATCTTGCCTTTAGATAGGTACTATTCTATGGTCGCTACACATTAAAGTGGTCAAAATGGTGAGAAGTCATTCTGCTCGTTAAAGGGTTACTCCAAGCTCTGGTTATGATGACAGTTGTGCCCTGGCACGGTTCCCGGGTAATGGGGCGAAACATTTTGCAATGGATTTCCCTCTTACCTGGGTCTCAACCGATCTCCAAGGCTACTAGCTCCTCTGCTAATGCGTTTCTCACTTCTGCAACACTGTAGAAGCTGGAAGCTGATTCAGCCGCCAATCATTGGCTGTGAGTGTCAAAAGCATTTGCACAGAATTGACATTAGACCCTAATGACACCCCCATCACAAAAGAATTGTGTTACACCTCTGGCAGCAAAAAAGTTTAACTCCATATGTGCAGCATTTAGAAGCAAAACACTGCACACACAGCAGGTGGGGGATCTAATAATAATAATAATAATAATAATAATATACCGGGGGTCTAATGTCCCTACCCCTGCGCCCACCCATTGTCGGTGGGTAAGGGCTCTAAACAGGGGTCAAGTCCTGGGGAAGATCCCCCCCCCAAAGAAGTAATAAAATACCCTTGTGTATATATATACGCTTGCACACACACACTGACAGGTGCACACACACACTCAGACACACACATACACTGACAGAGAGACAGGCGCCCGCTGGGGGGTCTTCTTGGGCCCCCCATGACAATGGGAACATTTGGGGGCGGCCACGCACCCTTACAATAAATCAGTCCCACTAACCCCTCACCTAATAATATTGAGTAATAATAATAATAGAGTAAGATAAGTTAATGGAGAATGATGCAGTATTGCTGAAATGATAGTAACTAATATACATGTTCCTAAAAATTAGCAAAACATAAACAGAAGATGTACATGGATTACGTTATGTTCCCACAAATCATCCCACCTAGCAAAAGTATTGTATTTATCATGCATTTTAAACTCTCTAACTCGACGAACAGGGCCATATGTTTTGCGTAATACTGCCAATGAAAACGATATAAAATATGGAGATTACACCTCACTGGCAGCTTGCATATAAGAAACATAATCTGGATATTCTTCTCTGGACTTTTAGTTTATGCTAATGGTAAGCAGATGTTTTGCAGGACAAATACAAGAACACAGCTAAGCAAATTAAAATATGCAAACTAGGAAGGATATGAGAAAAAGAAATTATATAATAGTACAAAAAGGTACAATGCATGTTAATAGATGCTCTCTCTGCAAAGCTTTCAGCTTATCCCTAAAGAAACGCCTGCTGTAGTGGTTATGGTGCCAAGTGTACCCTGGATATGATTCTGAGTCTGTGTGAAGTTACAGTAACACAAGTTTTAAAATACATAATTCTAAATATACAGTTAAATAAAGTTACATTTAGATGTCTGGTTATCTGTAAATATGTTTCTAAAAGAAAATTTATTAAAATGAGAACTTACACTTGGGTTTTCAATATCAGACCGTGCTGAAAAATGTTTATTAATATGTGTCATAGGACAGAGATTACACTATACAGTAATATACCGGCTATTGGCCGACAATGAGTTTCCAGCTGTCTTATAACTCTAAGCAATTCTGATTATAAGGTTCCAACTGCTACCAAGAGCAGCAGACTTTATGACGGTACAAACTAAAACATCTCAATACATATACATGTCGTTACAGGACTGTAAAAAAAATATCAATAAAATATACACCATAGTAACATTATAACTAACTTTTACCACACTTACACAAGTCTCTGCTTTACATCCCTAATATTGACCTCATAGATTAAAGAGAAGCCAAATGTCAAGAGCTATCTTAAAAGCACAATAACATGTTAACTTTTGCTTCAATAATACTAACGTGCATTTTATGCTGTTCAGTAAAAGGTGAATTCATGGGAATTAAAAGTAAATTCAAAGTATAGGAAAACAGTTGAATTGAAAACATTCCACACGTCAGCAATGTTTTCAGTTTGGAAATTGTTGCTTAAAATCTTAAAATCACTTTGAAATGACATAAAATTACAAAGAATTTACGTTAGTAAATAACCCTGTTTATCATTATGCACCCAATCAACCAACCAACTAGCAATTGTGTTTACTAACTAAAAGCAGACAGTTCTTCTTAGAAAAAGGCTAGTTATCTTTCATTTACTCATATGGACGTTCTATCTATAATTCCATAGAGATACACCTGTCCACTTGAAGGTTCACTTTGGCTCAGTTCCTAGGGGGCACTTGTCACGTGGTCTTGTATAACCACTGGTTCCTCAGCGGTGGCCATCCTGAAATGTAGGCTTCAGATGAGATTGCAGAAAGAGCAAATCATCTCAGGAGGGGTACTTGCTTATGTCACTGCTGCAGGTAAGTATCAGGATGTACAGCGATGGTGACCGGGATAACCCCCATCAACCCAAGAAGAGGGATACAGGACTCATTTCAACCAGAGGAGGTCGGCCGCAACTCTCAGGCGGGCCAACGCCAGGCCGCACTTCAGAACTATTGGAGCTTCGTAGCTGCAGACCGCAGGACAGCAAATGACCCAGATGCTCCAAAACGCTATCAGGTCTAGACCTGAGGCAAGATATTAGTTTTGCTATCCCTATTAGATGCATTAAAACAGTTTGGATGCAGAGCACATTCTTTCTGCTTCTGGTCAGTATGGCGGTCAATCATCACCCCCAGTAATTCTGTTTCTGATTTATGATTCTTGAATTCCACTGTACATGCCAACAGGGAAAATGAGTGATGTCTATAATATTAATAATATATAAATACTGATAACCATTATAGAACATGTATACATGACATGCAGACACATTATTCACTACTATTAGAATGGGGTCCCCCATGACATATTGACATATTATTCACTACTGTTAGAATGGGTTCCCCCATGACATATTGACATATTATTCACTACTGTTAGAATGGGTTCCCCCATGACATATTGACATATTGACATATTATTCACTACTGTTAGAATGGGTTCCCCCATGACATATTGACATATTATTCACTACTGTAAGAAAGGGTTCCCCCATGACATTTTAGCATATTATACACTACTATTGGAATGGGTTCCAATGACATATTGACATATTATGCACTATTAGAATGGGTGACATATTTAGAATGTGTTCGTGTAATATATTGACAAGTTATGTACAACTATTAGAACGTGTTCATGTGACATATAAACATGCATTATGTACTATTATTAGAAAGTGTTCAAATGATAAATATGTTATTTACTACAATTAGAGTGTTCACATGACATATTGACATGTTATGCCCAACTGTCAGAGCATGTTCCCATTAAATATAAACAGGATATGCACAACAATTACCAGATTTTACTAATTTCATGACGGTGAGTATTGTGCTTTCTCTTTCTTTATTCTACCTCAGCAGCAAAGAAAAAATGTATAAACATTAAAGAAACCAAACTAGACTAAGTACTCAAAGGGTTAACATAGTCTGCTATCCTTAACCAATAGGAACAGTCCTTCTATCCATAACCACCCATGTGACCTCTCCTCTCCCTCTTTCTTTGATCCTGCCGAAATCTTAGAATCTTGCGTAGGTAATTTGAATCATAACCGGTGCGTCGTTATCTTCTCCATAACAAAACATGAACATTATCCAATCGAACGGAGACGATAACCACTCATCCACTTCATCAACTTGAAGTCGTTAAGCTGAAACGGGAGAGAAAAGGAATATGGTAACGTGTGGTCTAGCGACTGTTTGTTACATACTCCACAAGCATTCCTTATTATACTTGACAACCTCTACAGACTACCTTACCTGCTGTAGACTTCCTTATGTCACATGCCTCAATCCTACTATTCCCTAAACGTCATACCAACCTCATCATAATTATCTTAGCAATACAACTTACTGGGTGGGAGTTCGGATCTCTTCTTTCATCTAATACCAACTTCACGGTACTTACCATGTTATCTCCGCGATCCTTCTCGGGTGGGCCAATACTCGCCTCTGTGTCCTTTATAAAATCATGACTTTACGTCATGAAATTAGTAAAATCTGGTAATTTTATTAAAGGACACGGAGGCTCATATTGTGCTAGTTGAAAGCTGAGCAATGACCGACGATGTGACGTGTTCTGTAGGGCGAAAGTAATATTCTTTAAAAGTGGACTCCAGTGACCAATCCGCTGTACGTAAAAGATCTTCCAATCTGCAGCCTAACTGAAATGCTTTGGTCGCAATAGCTCCCCTAGTGGAGTGTGCCTTGTACATGGAGGTATCAATATTTGCGGAGGCCATTACCCATTTCACCCATCGGGCTATCGTAACCGACGATACTGGGTGATGCGGTGCCTTGATGGCTATAAATAGTTCATGTCTACTAAGGTCTCGTAATGTCTGTGTTCGTTCCTCATACTCTTTGAGACAAACTATAGGGCATAGATTGACATTGTGAGGGAACGCTGGATAAGATACCGTAGAAGTTGCGGTTTTTGTACGCCTGGAAATGTTAAACGTCACTCTCGATGGAGTGAACGAGCGTGCATCCACATCCAATGCTCGCACCTCGGACACCCTTTTACATGATATCAAGCAGAAGAGCATTGCTAGTTTCGCTGATAATTGTTTCAGCGTAAGGTCAGAGTTCCGTGGCCATTGCTCTAGTAAATTCAAGACTTAATTCACGTCCCACGTTGACGTATACCTGGGTCGTGGGGGTCTTGCAAATCGAACACCACGTAGGAGTCTGCACACCATTGTGTGTCTCCCTATCGGTGCACCTTCTAACCCGTGATGTCCAGCCGAAATCGCTGACCTATAGCCATTAATAGTCCGGTATGCTAGACCTTGCTCGAATAACCATGTCAAGAAACGTAGAATGCTGTTCAAAGGAGCACATACGGGATCCACTTGTTGTTCCATGCACCAACCACTCCAGACGCTCCATGCCCGTCTGTAGGAACTCCGAGTTCCTGGGGCCCAGGCTCCCTCCAGAAGTTCCAGCCTTTGTCCGTGGAACCTCTGGTATGACCCAGGGTCCCCTGAAAGGAGCCACGCTAGTAGCCTGAGTTGCCCTTGCAGCAATAACGGGTGTGAGTTCCCTTCCGGATCCATCAAGAGGTGAGGGTCCGCGGGTAGTATTCTGGGAAGGTCTATAGACATCTCCATGAGGGAAGGGAACCATGGCTGTGTTGTCCAGAATGGTGTTATTAGGACCAAAGTCGTCCGCGAGCGGTCGAGATGGACCAGCGTTCATGCTAGCAGAGCGAACGGTGGGAATGCATAGAGTCTCTTCCTCGGCCATGCCTGGAGGAACGCATCCGTAGCCACTGCTTCCAGGTCTGGTCTCCAGCTGAAGAACTCTGGTAGGTGTGTATTCAAACGAGACGCAAACAGATCCATGTGCATCGGGCCCCACAGCGTTTGTAATCGCAGGAATACTTTGCGATTCAGTCACCAATCGCTGTTGTCCCGCAGGTATCTTGAATTCCAATCCGCCACCGTATTCGATAGGCCTGGGATATATTCGTCCCGTACTGAGATGTTGCGATCTAGGCAAAACTGCCAGAATTCCGTGGCTAAATCCTCCAAAAGTTTGGATTTGGTGCCGCCTAGGTGGTTGATGTATTGTACCGCTGATACGTTGTCCATCTGTAGAATGATGGAACAATGTGTCCTGGCTCCCAGAAGACTTCTCAGTGCGAATGATCCCGCCATGAGCTCCAAGCCGTTGATATGCAACGTTCTTTCCGACTGGGACCATCTTCCGCCTGTGGAAATATGACCACAATCCGCTCCCCAGCCCTGCGTGCTGGCATTGGATTCTATTATGCAATCCGGGGCGCTGCCGAAAATCGCTTTGCCGTTCCACGCCTCCATGTGTTGCATCCACCACTCGAGTTCCGCCTTGGCCGTGTGATCTAGTTGCACGGAGTCTGAATAAGATCGACCTGATTGTAGATGTGTAGTTTTCAATCTCTGTAGGGCCCTGTAGTGTAGAGGTCCCGGGAAGATCGCCTGAATGGATGCTGAGAGGAGTCCAATTATCCTGGCTAGCTGTCGCACCGTTAGTGTCGGGCGACGTAACGTTCTGTGGATCTCCTTTTTGATGATCTTGATCTTTTCCTGCGGTAAATTCAGTGTTCCCTGGACTGCTTTGATAGTGAACCCTAGGAATTCCATGGACTGTGAGGGGATCAACACCGACTTCTCCCAATTGATGAGAAAACCGAGGTTGCGCAAAAGCTGTATTGCCCACGATAAGTGTTGTTGGAGTAGGCTTACCTCCTGCGCCATGATCAATATATCGTCCAAATAAATGATCATGCGCACTTCTCTGCTGCATAGCAGCGCCACCACCGGTTTCAAGAGCTTTGTAAAGCACCACGGAGCGGAAGACAGGCCGAAAGGGAGGCACCTGAATCTCCACATCTGCCTGTTCCACTGGAAATGGAGGAGGTGACGACATTCCTCCTCGATGGGGATGGTAAGATAGAAATATGACCATCCAGTCTCCCAGCCTGAGGAGGTCTCGCAGACAATGGATCCCCTCCATTTTGAAGTGGCGACACCGTACGTACGCATTGAGGGGGCGTAGGTTTATCACCGGTCTTACCCCGCCGCCTTTTTTGGGGACCAGAAATAGGTTGCTCAGGAAACCTGGAGAATGATACGCGACTCGATAAATCGCGCCCTTCTCCCTTAATGCTCTGATTTCCTGTGACACGAGACCCCTGTCCCATGGGGTAAACACCATTGGCCGAGGGGCTGCTGGTTGGACTGGGGTTTGTACAAATTCTATTTGATACCCTACAACAGTGTTGAAAACCCAAGCATCGGACGTGAGCCCGTGCCATGCCCCGATAAAATGGGATAGTCTGCCCCCTACATAGGAAGTACAATACCGGGAAGCAGGAAGGGTACTCACCATAAGGTCGTCGGCCGTATGTAGCGCCTCTGCGTCCTCTGGGCTGCCATGGCCTGACCCTGACAGGAAAGAAAGGTGAAGGGTTCCTGATCTCCGGCTGTGGAAATCTGGGTGCGGGGGAGCCTCGGTAGCCCCGATAGGAGCCCCGTGATGACCGGCTGGACAGACGGCCCCATTGTCTGCCAGCCCCCTAAAAACCTTCGGGGCGAATACCCACTTCAAGTTTGTTTGGGCCTTGTCCAGGGCCGTAAAGTATTTACATAATTGCCTGATTCCTTGACAAAATTATCCCCGAAGAGGAGACCCTTTGCCTTCGGCCCAGGTTCTTTAATGGCCATGTTGACCAGTTTCGGGTCAATTTTCATGAGGACCGCTTTGCGCCTTTCTGTACAAAGCACAGCATTGGAATTGCCAATAAGACATATAGACCATTGTGCCCACTCTTGGATAGCCAAGAGGTCCACTGGCGTGCCACTTGAAAGCGTCTCCTCGACCATGTTGAAGATTTTTGCGCTGGGGCCTAGCGAGTCAAGTACTTTATCTTGACAGTGGCGTAGCGAATAATCTAGCCCTTTCTTGGCTTTCCAGCCCGACTTTCCCAAAAATTGGGCAATCTTTGGGTCCAGTTCTGGTGTGGCGCACGCCATATCCGGAACTGTTGGGCGTGGGCATTCAGCCCTCAACTTATTCCTGGTGGCCTTGTCTAGGGGTTTTCTAATTCTGGCCGCTATATATTGGGCCACGTGGTCCGCTGGGAACCATTCTGTCGACCTAGGATGTTGAAGGTCGTCAGGGTTAAATAGGGGTTCCCCTTGCGGATCCAGGATAACGGAATCATCCGCTTTTTCTTGACCCTTGGTGGGTGGCCTGTCAGAGAAACTCCGTTCCGGAGAAGAGTTCTCCGATGCCAGTGAGCCCATTTCTTCAGACTCACTCAATACCTCCTCTTGGTCCGAATCAGAGTTGGATATTTCTCTCCCGGCTTTCGCCCATTTCCATGACCGCACCGTTTTTGCCCGGTGGGAGGCTCTCTTACATGGGGGCCCCATTGACAGGACGCAACCTGTCCGTCATGTGCGTTTTGGAGGCTTGTTTGCCCATATGATGGGTCTTTTCAGTAGCCTTGCGACCGCTGAGGGGAGCAGGCTTATCATCTTGTGCCTTGGAGCAGGGGTCCTTGGGGTTGCGGCCAGACGCCATGATGGTGTTACTGATGGATTGGGTCAGGTTATCTGACATCGCCCCCATCGCTGTGTAGATTGCTTGTGTGACCGATTTTGCCATGGTTGCATCTAGCAGAGAATGGAACTCTTCTGAGTTCAGTTGTTCCACTGACCACACCTCCTCCCCATGAGAGGAGATGGGCTGCGGAACCAGGGACCCACGAGTTGTGGTGCCCAGACTGCCTGTAGTCCCAGTGACCCGCTCCTGATCCTTGGGGTGCTGCATAATGAAATAGTACTGCTGTACCAATCTATGGCAACTGAGGCAAGTGAATTTATAATGCTGGCCCTTTAAGGCACCCTTTTTATGTCTTATTTGGGAGTGTAATGTGGTTGCAGACACCCACAAACCTGTCACTTTAAGCCCCAGGGAGAGTGAACCACTATGTAGCTTCACAATCTGAAAAGGTCTGTAACTAAGCAGGGTGATAGGGCAAGGCACAAACAAGCTGTCAGCTTACCTAGTGTTCCCTCCGGAATGGCAGCAGGGGGACACTAGAAAGCTTACAGCCCCAGCCCACACCCAATCCGAACGCTCCCGCCCCTCAGGAGGCTGGGAGTGTCGGGGCAAAAGCGCGGCAAAACTGCAGAGAAGCCGGCACTTAAAATGGCCGATGCGCTATGTGGCCGCGAATGCGCATGCGCGCGCCGTCCCGAGCCGAGAATGTCCGCGCCGGCAACAGCCGCCGCAGAGATCAGCTGTTAACCGCCGACGTCAAACGGAGCACGGGTAATAAACTACCCGACGGGGAGGGGAAGGGAGGGAGGAAGGGAGGGAGGGAAGCTGTTCATCTCCCAAACATAAAAGCAAAAGCAGGCTAAATACCGTTAGTCCTACCACTAAGGTCCCAAAAGGCAACCCTCACTGCTCTAACCTCCCAGCACTCCCCACAGATACAGCAAACACAAATTCCACAAAGAATATTCAACTTAAATGTAAATCTAACAAACTATGAAAGAACAATCACAATAAACATTAATATCAATCTAATTATCCAACATTAAGAACATAATTTTTGAGAGCTAAAATTAGGTGATACTTAGCTGAGGCAGCAGCAAAGAAAGAGGGAGAGGTCACATGGGTGGTTATGGATAGAAGAACTGTTCCTATTGGTTAAGGATAGCAGACTATGTTAACCCTTTGAGTACTTAGTCTAGTTTGGTTTATTTAATGTTTATACATTTTTTCTTTGCTGCTGAGGTAGAATAAAGAAAGCACAATATGAGCCTCCGTGTCCTTTAATAAAATTAGAACTTGCTCACATTGCACAGACACATATTGTATAAGAACAAGTTCACATTACATGTAGACACACATTATCCACTACTATTTAATAACATTGCTAATAAATTCCATGTTCACTTTCATGGTTAATCACTTAGGTTCAAAATGTATCAAAATAAAATCAGAATGGCAAAACTGAGGCTGCATTAAACCAGTTTGGGATTTAAATTCAGAGTTTGGTAAAAAATAAAACCCTGTTTAAGAACCGTGTAACGATTTGATTTGTTATTAGTAACTTTTGCCTCCAGTAAATTACTGACTGAAGATGTATAGGGATCGTAATATGTTTGTTGTGTTGTTTTGATTGATCAGGAGAAAATGACACAGAATTCAAGCATAATATGTTACGTGAAATGAGATGTTTATACAAAAGTGGATTTTTCTTCACAATCTCTGTCTCTCAAATTGATACTGGCAGTTATTGCAGATTCATAATGCATCGAAAGATGTTTTACTTTCTTTATGCATTGTGGAATGTGACCACAAAAATACATATATATCCAGGGGTTGACACAGCTGTTCAAGCTTCCGAGCAGCATTACAATGGTGAACACAGCATCTAAAAAGAAAGCATTTAGAAAACGATTAATTAAAGAAATACTGATGTGTTCTTTTTTTTTTGTATTCAAAATTGCCATAATATTTTATTTTTTATTACTTAGCAGATGTGACGTTAAAATAATTTCACAAATCAAAAACAAGACTTGTTTCAGTTTTGTAATGCAGCTAACATCTTCTGCATATTGTAATGGCCAGCAAATGCATGGACAAGCAGTTATTTTAGTTACTGTATGGTAAGTACCCACTACCCAATAATGCATGCACAATGCTTCAAGGAACACTTGTTTCTTGTGGTCAGCCTAAGGCACACCTTTGCAATAATCATGCCGTCTAGTCAGCATTTTGATATGCCACACCTGTGAGGTGGATGGATTATCTCACCAAAGGAGAAGTGCTCACTAACACAGATTTAGACAGATTTGTGAACAATATTTGAGAGAAATAGGCCTTTTGTGTACCTAGAAAAAGTCTTAGATCTTTGAGTTCAGCTCATGAAAAATGGGGGCAAAAACAAAAGTGTTGCATTTATAATTTTGTTCAGTGTATGTGTAACAAAACAAAAAGAAAGAGGGCATATCGACTAAATTGTCAAAAATAAATGGTGACTAAAAAGTAAAAATCTAGTAAAAAGCTGCAAATTTACTGAAATGCTAGATTGCTGATTTAGCTCAAATTGAGTAAAGCAATCACCAGGTAACCCTGTAGCTAAATTGTGTCTTCGAGGGCACCTGTACTATCGTGAATAGAAAGTAATCTAGCTATCTAGTGGTATGAACAGAACCGATGGCAACTTGTAGTTAGAGATCCTTGTGCTGCATTAGTCTTCTATTGTACAAAAATTGAAACATCAGCATCAGTGTATCGCTGCAAGTTTAGTTCAGTTCAGAACCCCAAAGCAGGTTTTGCCGGTCAGGTGGCTCTATTTAAAAAAAAAAATAATAATATTTCACATCTCCATTGGCGATCTGCATAAACTCCAACAGAAAACAAAAAGAAAGCAAAAGGGAGTCACTTAAGTAGGACTATTTTAGTGAAGAGAAAGGAAACCAGATTTAAAAAGGTCAAGGGGAGAGTTGGAACTGAGAATGTTAGTTGGATGGTTAAAGGGACACTGTAGGCACCCAGACACCTTCAGCTCACTCAAGTGGTCTATGTGCAACTCCCATCACCCTTAAGCCTGAGTATGTAATTATTGCAGTTTTTATAATCTGCAATAATTACCTGCTAGGGTTAAGTCCTCCTCTAGTGGTTGTCTAACAGACTGCCACTAGAGGGACTTCCAGGTTCTTAGACGACTTTTGGCCTTCTAAATGACGCTAGACGTCCTCACGCTATGCATGAGGACTTACAGCGTCGCCGAAATCCCCACAAGAAAACATTGAATAATGCTTTCCTATGGGGAAATCGTAATGCGAGCGCGGCCATGCCTATTAGCTCTCCCCCGCTGGCGGACGTCGGCGGGGAGAGGAGTGTGAGCAGTGCTAAACCAGAGTTTGTTTACCTGGAACTAAAGTTTCTCTTTTACCCCTTAAGGACCAAACTTCTGGAATAAAAGGGAATCATGACATGTCACACATGTCATGTGTCCTTAAGGGGTTAAATACAAGCTGCTCTATGTAGCAAAGGAAGGTTGTGATATGGGGCAGAAGTTAGAACAAATTTGATTGTGATCAAGTCATTGTTTGGGCAGTGCTAACTTACAATATATGTAAAGATTGTGAAATAATTTCAGATTTTATTTTATCGTTCATTATTTTAAATTGGTTGTTTTGCATATATTTGAAATGCATTATCTGTACAATACAATACAAATTCATAAAAATTGGTAATTTTCATCCCTGAGAGCCCATTTAATATAAGTAATAAACTGTATATACGTGTTTCCATATTGTAGTTTGTTGCTAAATTGAATCTTGTGAGTTCTATGTCAGATATTACAGAGTGACAAGGGAATTGGAATTAATAAATTAAAATTGGTAGAAATTTTGGGGCGTGGCCAGGACTCCGATGAGACCAGCAGCATAATCGCTGAGCTCCGTGCTTGACAGGGGAAAATCAGCAAAACCCGGCACTAATTTTGAGCAATGACGACTAAGAAGCAGCGCAATACCACGGGTAACACCCCAGCCAGCGACAATCTGCCAGCAAAATCCTCCCGGAGGAGATTTTTTACGGAGCAATCTGAATCGCAGCAGTGGAACAAAATGGCGACCCGCGAGGCAGCCAGCCACCCAGCCCATCAGCATCAGAGGAATCAGTTGAGGACACTGACATCAGAACAATACTCACACAATTGCCCTCGAAGAAAGATCTCGTAGACATGTTCCAGAGACTGGAGAACACCTTCAGCGAAAAGTTGCAGGCAGTGAGCACGGATGTCCAACACCTAGAAGCCAGAGTACAGGCCCTGGAGGACACGGAAGAAACCACTGAACGATTGTGGTCAGAATGCCACAAAACGCGAACTTTACGCGCGGATGCCGTACTGTACCTCCAGAGGAAACTAGACGACGTTGACAACAGGGGTCGACGGAACAATCTGCGAGTGAGGGGTATACCTGAAAGCCCGGAGGGTACCGCAGAGAACCCTATTCAGGTATTGACCACCCTCTTTAATTTAATTCTCGCCAGACCCCCCGAGACAGCAATCCAATTTGATAGGGCGCACAGAGCAGCGCGGCCTAGGAACCTCCCGTCTGACAGACCCCGTGACCTCATTTGCCGCCTCCATAATTTCCCCTTAAAAGAGGAAATATTTCGCAAGGCACGGCAAAACAGAGACCTACAGCTTGAAGGACACCCAGTGACCGTCTACCAGGATCTCTCACCCTCCACACTACAGGCAAGACGAGCACTGAAGCCCATCACCTTGGCACTACTGGAAAAGCAGATCAAATTTCGTTGGAACTTTCCGTTTGCCCTTACAGTGACAACCCACAGTGGAACACACACCATCACCACACCGGCGGACGTTCCGGAATTTCAACGGGCCTTGGGCCTACCCCTCCCTGAAGTGGAGGACTGGATTAGCCTAGTAAGCTGAACGTCCATACCGAAGCAGCAAAGACCCAGGTGGCAAAGAACACAGAGGAAACGCAGACGGCAGACCCAGGCTGGGACTGATACCCCCAATACGCCTAGAGACAAGGCGGCCTGAAGTCCACGTATATCCTTTACCTTATCTACCTCATATATTGAGGATGCATAATGCTAATGTTTTTGTTTTGTGTTTGTTTCTTTTCTAAGCCAAACTTTAACATAGTTAGTTTCAGTTTATTCATGTTGTCATTGCCAAACATAATATATATGACATTATGCTACTTGGGCCCCCACGGCCCCTACATTTCGAAGTATACACCCTTGAATTAGGCTAACTGGTCTTAAAGAAGTCACATACTGAGGACACATAATGGTTATATTATCTTAGCTAAACTCTACTATGTTTAGTTCCCGTCTATTCAAGCTGTCATTGCCAAACATAATGTCTATGAACTTATGCCAACCGGGCTCCCACAGCCCTCACATTCAGAAGTACTGACCCTTAATTCAGATTAATGGGTCTTTAGGCAGCCCGGAACCGGGCCCACCCAACGGGACACTGTGATAGACCCCACAACAGGGGAAATCCATTAAGGATTCTGCAGTCCCGCTATCCATTCATTAAATTAACCCGCTTAGGTCCTGTCACAGCAGAACGACCTCCATCCCCCCACCCCCCCAGAGAGGCGCTTGGTAAACTACTTG